GTAACATTCCTGCCTCCCTGGTCAGCACGCGCGCGTGTGTGTGTGTGTGTGCACGTGCGTGTGTGCGTGTGTGCACATTCGTGATCTCACGCCCGGCCTCTCTCTCCCCATCACTCCAGGCTCCCAAGGGGCAGGAGACTGGCTTACCCTCCGTGGTGATTAGGGAAGGATGACTGGGCACTCATGGGGAGAGCTGGGCCTCGCTCCCCACCAGGCGAGGCCTGCCCCAGGCCAGCACTGATGGCAAAGTGCGGGGTGTCTGTTTGTCTAATCCCGTCTCCATTTTGCTTTTCACACGAAGCTGCATTCTCCAACTTGGTTTTTATCTAAGGTGATATTGTGGCTTTCACATGCCAACTCTAATCTTTCTCATCTCCGTGAAAACTTAGGTAGGGGCAAAGGGGGGGGGCTATTTAAAGGTTCCCCACAGGACTCCAAGAATGACAATGGGTTCCAACCAGGGACAATTTCTGAAGGCAGGACACCAGTTCAGGCTGCCACTTAAAAGCAGAGTCGAGGTGAGGGGGTCGGAGGTGGGGGGGAGTGTAGCTCGGTGGTAGGGCGTGAGTTTGGGGTGCGGGAGGTCCTGAGTTAGATCCCCACTGCCCCCGGTAAGGGGAAAGAAATACAAATAAAAGTAGATTTCACATTGGCTTCTCTGGGTCACAGCACGGGAGCAAAAGGTTGAGCCGGGAATTCTCTCCCCCACGGAAAATGCCAGGGCGGGGGGGGGGGTGACTGCCTCCACCACCCGAGGCCAGGCAGAGGGCCGGCCAGGCCCGGCTCAGGCCTCCGCTGCCCCCGGAATCTGGAGGGAGTTCCCTCTTCCTGGCTGTCACTTCAGCACTTACTGTGAGAGCCTGGCTCTCTCGGAAATCAAAACGCCACTCTGAATTTAAATGATCTGTCCTTCTGGGAAATTCTTCGGAGCGACAGGACTGTTCAAACATGAAAAGTAAAAGGGAAACAACGTGATAGTTCAGAAATCACTGTTTTCGGGGGGCTGCAAAACCCAAATAGCCCGCGGACAATTCCTGGGAGGAAGGGCCTGATTTTGATCTGCGAAGCGAGAGGAACGTTGTTTGACAAAGTTTCTGCTTGACGGGAAGGGAAATCTTACGGGAGCGATTTTTGCAAGGACCAGGCCTCAGTGAGGTGGTGCGTGAAGCAGAAGTAATCGTTTTATGTGCGAAACTCCGTGCGCAGAGCAAAGATGGGAAAATAGTGGTTAATTGGAACTGGCCTAACCAGGGAGAGAGGGAGAGAGGGTGGCGGGAGCTGGTGGTTTCTGGTCCCCACCCTGCGGCTTGGGCTCCATCACCTTCCTCATCAACGATGCCCGTCACTAGGGGGCGCTAGAAGCCTTCCCGAAAATGCCTGGGAAGAAGCAATAACCCGGAGGGTGGTCAGGGCAAGAGCCCCGGGGCCCCCAGGCCTCCCCAACCCCGCCTCTCCTTGGATTTCAGGAGGAGGAAGTGTCCTGTAGGCCCGGCCCAGCTCCCCACCAGATGCTGGGATGGCTTTTCATTCCCGCAGGACCAAAGCCCTGGAGATTGAAGGGAAAGCAGGAAGGCAGCCCTGCAGTGGGGGAGGGGGGTGAGCTTAAGGAAAGATGCTCTTCCCTGTCCTGCCAGCCCCCGACCTCTTCTCTCCTTCTGCATCCCCGCCCTGCACCTTCTCTGTGTTCTGCAGGGGCACCTGTCAGCACCTGAGCCCGAAGCAGAAACCCCAGGCCTGCCTTTTTTTTTTGGCTACAGGGTCGAACCTAGAAATAATGTCATAGCTGAAGCGAGGAGATTTTAAAATCCTCTTGTTTATAACATTTTGTAACTAAGTTGGGGACTAAGAACTCTAGTTTTCTGGGACGTCCTGAGTAATTATTTAAAGTCCATCTGGTCTGTCAAGGGAGTCGTATGGTTTTCCTTCTAAGCCTTAGAAAGGTACATGGATAGACACAACGTGAGCTGATGCAGCCTAGACAGCTTCACCAGGGGGTAAATCCAGTGAGAGAGAAAGAGGAGAAGGAGGAGGAAGGGGAGGGGGAGTGGATGAGGGAGGAGGAGGGGAGGGGAGGAGGGGGAGGAGGATGGGAGAGGAGTTGGGGGGGAGAAGAGCGCCAGGCGTGATAGGCAGGGAGGCAGGAGTCTTGGGGATGCTTTTTGTAGCGTATCCTGGAGAACAGGCAGGCTGGACTCTCCCTAGAATTCCTTCTGGAGGAGAATCGGGGACAGGGCAGTTTCTTCACCCCCACAGCCATGAATCACCCCCGTGATAAGAAGGCCGGGTCCGAGGGAGCCTTTGGTGCGCTTCCCCACACACCTCCATTGAGCGGTTGCATTTTCAGCCTTTCAGTCGCACCAGAGAACTTGTCATTTTAACTCCTGGGGTATTTATGCGCCCCTCACAGCTCACTGATAAAGGTAAACTTGTGAAAACTAAAGAATTCATTCTAACCCGGTGGACCACTTGTAAATCCCGTCAGTTCTATGTAGTGAGTCACACGGGACAGAAATAGCCATTGTGGGTGGAATTCGGGAAGTCTCGGCTCACATGTGAAGCAGGCGATTCCCCTTGCGGAAGGGCGGACCTAACGCCTGCGGTTAGGGCCCAGCTCCCAAGGCATCTTCCAGGCAGGAAGGCGGCAGCCAAGCCACCACCTCTCCCTGGGAGTCACCATGTATGCCTCTAATATTTGACTTTCCTTAGCTTCGGTCCCAGAAGGATTTACTAAATTTGCTTTGTGGAACCTATTAACTCTAAACTGAATAATGATGTTACTCTAGGCGTACGGTCAGTTTATGGTAAATTCTCTATCTGCAAGACTCTCGGAAGCCTATATTCCTCCTCAACAGAATTTTAAGTCAGTTCATAAATGAAAAGGTTTACTCAATTTACCTAAAAGTTATTTGTAATTAACTGACATCAAGAGACCGTTGCTTGCAGAGGTGGTGAATAGCAAATGAGAACTCTGGCGAGAGGGGATATTCATTATGTGGCTTAAATTAGAAGGCAGAAAACTCCAATGGTTTTATCAGTACCTCTCCTGTACTCTGGCTTAACTCTGTGGTTAAAGTGGGTAATCATGACTTATAACTAATTTTTGTTTTTTGGGGGGCTTGGTAGGATGACCAAAGCCAGATGGATCGCTTAGGGAAAATCTAGATAAATAAGCTGAGCACATGCGTATTTGCAAATCAACGGTCCTTCTTTCAAAAGTCTTTTTAGAAATTATGAAGCATTAACATTGCACCGAAGACTTTCTTATCTAAGGTGAAGGGGGCGGAGGGGCTGGAAATACTGGCAGGCGGTGGGGAACTCACAACACTGTTGTGAGGGCTGGGGCATCTTTATAGAATGAAAAACACATGTCATCAGGCTAAATTATGGCCTCTGTGGACAGACCAATGCCCGAGGGAATGGCAGGGGTAAGGAGTGTCCCCAGTGCTTTCCTGGGTGGCGTCGCTAGGAGACTGTGTGATGTGGTAGATGGTACTTGCTGACAGGACATCCCTGCTCACCTGGGTTTGAACCATTTCTGTGAACTTGGGCACTCACTCAAAACTTCTCTAAGTCCCTTCCCTCCGGCTTCTAGAATTTGATACATTTCGCAGGGTGCTGGAATCAGCTCACTCTTCTGAAGGAACATGGAATGGAATCTGGGTACCCTTAGAAGGGGAAGAGCTCTGAGGCCCTTGAAGGCTTCCCAGGATGGGCTGGTTCCCCTCTGCGAGCTCTCCGAGGTGAAGCAGGCAGGAGGGCGGGGAGGATCCTGGTATGGGAGGACTTCCTTCTCCTTTGCGCTCTAGTGATTGAGCTGCGGCAGGCACTGCCCAGGCGGGTTTTGCCACAGAGAACGGTGGGATCAGTGCCCTCCTGGCTGCCTCTTTTGGAGCCCTCCGTTTCAAAAGCACCTTGGCTGTCTAGCTGATTCACTGTTCAGCAGGCGGGAGAAATGGCTTCCTTTGGGAGCAGGACAGGATAAAAGGAGAGAGAAAAGGTGGTGCACAGGCAGAGCAGTGGGCTTGGTTAGGGCGTGCATCAAAGGCAGAAGTCTCCCGTCATCTTTAAAGTGCTTGCGGACTGGTGTCAATTTGAGGTGTTTATAGGCAGGTGTTATACTTATGTTCGGGTCCAGCCCTTAAAACCACGTGCAACGACAGTGTCAGGTGTGATGCATGTAAACAGATGAATGTATATTTCACCAGGTGTGGCAGCAGTGTACCTAGTGCCCAGGAGATTCTGCTCTTAAGATGCAATTTTTAGCTACAATATTTTTCTTTGCGTTCGTTCAGACATTACTTCTAAGGAAAGCAGTGCAGAAAATGAAAGCAGGAATTTGCATGTGTTTTTCTGGATTTCCCCCGTTTAAGCGTGCTAAACTCTAACTCGAGGAGAAAAAAAAATAGACCGATTTGCCATGTGGAGTGACCTGATTCTTCTTGGATCAACATGTTATCAAGTGGAGGTTGTCACTACAAAGCAAGTGTGATAAAGCCTGCCTTTTCTAACTAAAATCAAAGCCCCGGCCAGCCAGCCTGGAACTGCTGCTCTCAGCGTGCCCTGATCAGCTGGTCTCTATGTAGATTGAGACAGCTCCAGGGGGCTGGGAGCCTATCAGGCCCAAGCTGATTATTCTAATCAACTGTTTTAATTAAGCCCTTATTGCCACGATCACAGCAACGTGGCCTGCTCTCAAGTAGTGATGGGCAGCCTTTTCTTCTTCTTTTTCTTCTTCTTCACAGTGATAATGTTTGGCTTTGTAGTGGTGTGTTTATCGCTTTTCTAAAGTAGGCCAAGGGAGAGTCCCCTGTGAAGGGCACACCGTGAACTGGCAGGCTGGCTGGTGGACACGGCAATTGGAAAATAAAAAATCTTACCCACTTGGGTTGCAGATGAACCAGGACCCCCAACAACTGCCTCCACCTGCATCCTCCACTTGGAAACATGAAAGCAATACTGGCCGGCCCAAGGTTTAAAAAAAATATATATAAACACACACGCATTGGGTTGGCTTTTATTGGAATGCCTAGATGCAATCTATAGTCATCAAGTTATGGAAAATTCAGGTCACATATAAAGTTAAGAAGGCAAATGAAAAGAACAATACAAATCAGACAAAATTTACATCTCAAAATATCATGAAAGCATTTTGACTGGCTTTGCCTAAAATACTTTGAATATCAATTTCTTTTTTGTAAGCTAATTCTTTTCATTATACAGCCCCCCTCCCCCACCCCCAACGCTTAGAAAAAGGTCTTTTGTTTACATATTCCCCAAGGTCACTATTTCTTGTAAAAGCATGTCCAGATCACAAGTCTTTTTAGAAAGAAATAGGCTCATTACACCTACTAACAAGACACTAATTGGGTTGATCTGACTTCATCTAAAATAAGCACCAGGAGATACTCCAAATCTGTTATTTATCGGTGCCCAGGTAAAGGACCAGTCCTTGTCAAGAAGAGGGTAAGAGAATGATTTCACTTCGGTCACGTGGTACAAGCTTTTCATGGTCAGTAGCATCAGAAACATTTCTGAGAATTTCGACTCAGAGCCTATTTCAACCAAAAGTACTTACAGCATGCTAAATACAGCCCTGCAAATGCCACTGAACAGAACTGCAAACACCTAAGTTAACAGTTAAAAAATAAAGTGTAAAACAGAGCCATGTTTATGTGGTTTGAAATCTCATAGTTTTCTAAATTTGGGCTTCATAATACTCGCCAAAAGGATTTCCAGGATAAAAAATATTAATGCTAATCTGTGCTTTCATTCTAATAAAATATTAGCATTCATAGAAGATTAATGACTTCGGTATGCTCTACCAGATACACAAAGACAGTCATAGCACTGATACTGTAAATTCAGTAGCTATTTTGAAACTTTCCCAGCCAATCTGTTTAATAAACACGCCTACTGTGCAATTTAGAGTATGTGATACATACAAAGCAGTTAGAAAATTATTTTCAATACATCACTTGAACCTTTATGTTTACGACATGTTCACTTGCTATATTTTATCACCATTATACATAGAGGAAAACAGTGTGTACTATAGCTCAATGAACTGAGAAGGATTTTCTAAAAATATTTTTGCGGCTGAATTTAGTGCTCAGGAAAGAGATTTGCCAGAGCTGCGGAGCCGACACAGGGGCGCAGATGGCGGTTGTGACGGGCCGGCTCGCCCGCGTGCAGGAGGGCATGGCTGTCAGTTCACCTCCAGCTGGATCTGCCGCCCCCGGCTTCCCCGAGACAGAGCAGAGGCTGCCGTTCAAACCAGCTCCCAAGGTGGTTGGGTCGGGTGGGCCTACAGGAGCTTTTGTTTCCCTCGTGGTGACCCGAGAGTCCAAACTCCAGACTAGCTGAGTGACCCTGCCCTGTTCCACCTGGCTCTCTCGCCACTGCTCGGTCTCTGCTAGCTTTCCTAGATCTTAAGACACAAGTTTATGGTCACGACTACATCAGATCCTTTCCTGCTCACCAGTGTCTCCCGAGCATCTGATGTGGTCTCTCGCCTCCATCACCAGATGGAGCTTCAAGGAATGGTAACAGGGAAACCCTGGGGTTAATGGTATCAACTCCCCATCGGCTTTTAGGGCTGCGAGAGGGCCAGAGAAGGCCTCCTGCCCTATTTGTGTTTTGTTTTTGTTTTTCGTATCTTCCGTTACATTCCACCAGCCCGAGTTTTCTGCTGTGCCTCTTAGTTGATAATGGTTGAGGACACTGGCCTGATGAAAAAGGGAAGGAAGAGAAAGAAGTTCTTTGATTAGCCACCCACGGAGGATTGCACTGACCTATCCATCTAGTGATAGAAAGTTGCACATTTTTTTTAACCTAATACAAAAATATTAACACTTCTGGACATTATAGGCATAAGTCGTTATATCTCTACAATATAATAATTTATACTGTACAGCTATAACAGATAACAAAAGGTGCAATCCTTTTTAAAAAATCACACGGTTCACATGTTTTTATCATTTTATTTTTAAGTATAAACTTTTTAAACACTTTACATAAATTAACTCCTCTGAGACTAATATTTGATGTACAGTAAATTGTAATTCATATAAAAATCCATAAACAACTTGTCTCACATAATTTACAAAAAAATCAGGATTTCCTTTGCTTATCAGTGACAAGGATTGAATTTGCCAGTTTGTTTCCCCCAAGGCAAACCACGTTAGCGTTGTAAAATCCATTATGAAATCCCCGCTGTGGCAGAAGTCACTGGTGCCAATGTCCTTTTGCAAAGCAGCACAGGGACAGCAGCTGGGTTGTCTATAAACGGTAAATTTGCCCCACATTTCAAAATTAACAGAGATATATATCACATCCTATGCAGAGAGACTACTTCTTGTAAGCAAAGGTCGACAACTCAGTAATATTTGGAAACACTGTATGCATTTCTACCTTCGTTAAATACAGTGCCTCAAGGAACAGCCGGCCCAGAGCAAAACGTTTGGGCCTTTCCTTTTATTTTTCCTTTCTTTAATGATCTGTTTTCTTTGTAACACTTTCAGTCCAACTGAGTGCAGCGATATGCATATGTAAACATATTCTTTAAAGCCGATCACCTTTAAGGTCATTCAGAAGAAAGTTTTGGCGTTTTGTTTGTTTGTTTAATTCTCCGTGGATTTTCTGTAATAGCAGTCTGGTTCTCCCGGAAGGCTCTTCGGTGCCGGAGAGTCCCCCTCGGATTGTGCTACAGACTGATCTGAGCAGAGGTGTGGCTGGGGCTGGCCAGGCAGGCGGCGCCCCGCCGGCTCGGTTCCCGCGGGGGCGGCCGCGCATCCCTGCCGCCGGCCCGGGGGGTTACCTCTTGCCGATCTCGCTCTGGCGGAGGAACTGGATGTTGTTGGCGCTGTCGGCCAGCTCGGGGTACTGCTCCACCGAGAGTACGTAGTACCCGTCGTAGCCCTGCACCTTGCCGGCGCTCAGCAGCTGCCGCTTCTCGCCCTCCGTCCAGAGGCGCGCGCCCTCCTCGCCGTCGCGCACGCGCTGCTGCTCGCGCGCCCAGGCCCGGGCGAGCGCGCGCTGGCGCGCCTGCTCCAGGATGCGCGCCTTCTCCTCGTCCAGCGTCATGCCGTAGCGCACGTGCAGCGCCAGCGCCCCGAACTGCATCTCCACGTCGGCGAACCTGCGAGTCCTGCCGTTGACCACGGTGGTGGACTGCGACACCGTCACGTTGATGCCGTTCTCCAGCGCCTTGCGGCCGCTCGTCAGGCGCAGCGTGCCCAGGTCGCTCTCGGGCGTGCTGGTCTTGATGAAGTAGTGCGTGTCCTTGCCCTCGATGGTGAAGTGCAGGTTCTCCAGGTAGAAGGCGTTGTTGAGCACGGCCGCCACCTTGATGCAGTCCTCGTTGGCGATGTTGAGCACGTTGGTCTGCACGCGGCCCTGGCTCACGGCCAGCATGACGCCCTTGCCGATCAGCGACTTGACCGTGGCGAACCACAGCCACGACGGCGCGCCGCCGCCCTTGCGCCTGCTCACCTGCACCTCGGCCATCTTCCCCAGGGACAGGAAGGCCTTGGCCTGCCTGGCCACTTGCTGCTGGACTCCAAAAATGGGCTGAAAAGCGGAACAGAACAGGGGCGCACGGTTTAGAGAAGAGCCATGAAGCCTGGTGGTGCGCCTGCTCTAGGCAGGGAGACACACACACACACACACACACACACCCCTCCCAAAGAGGTGGGGGAGCACCAGGGGGCTTGGGTGGAGAGGGGCTGATTAGAACCTCAGTCGGTTCTTGAGATGAAAAGGCTTAAAAACCCTGGGGGTAGGAATGCACTCAAGATCCCCTCCCCTCAACTTGATCCCAATGTGTTTTGAAAGGTAGAAAGAGGTAATTCCACCATGTATTGTTTGAAAGAGCTTTTTCGTTTCTAACGTAAGCAAAATATTCCTGTTCTGGTTTTTTTCTCTTTCAGTTTCTAGCTGCCTTTTTCCCACTCCCAACCCATTTGGGGAACCAGCTTATAAGGCCGTTCATCCCAGCAGCGTTCTGTTCTCCATGGGAGGCTGGGGAGAAAGCAGGGGCCAGATCACCGCTTCCCACTTCATGTGCTTTGAAAGGCGTGTGCTTTAATTTAGGTAAACTCTGTACCCGCTCCTGCTAAACAGAGTTTTCAGCTGTATTTCGCCAGTATAACCGACAGTCTGAAATAAGCAAGGATGAGAGCACAGTGGGACAGCTGGCAACGAGTGTTTATTACTTTCAGAAAGCATCGGTCTTTTGCAGACTTAGGGACAGTGGCCCTTCCACGTTGGCAAATGTTTTCAATTCGGGGCATCATAACTCAGCCATCTCTTCTATTACCAGATGTTTGTCCCGACAGTGTTTCACCAAATGGAAACCTATGTTTCATTTGCAGCAAAGACACATTTGTTTTTCTGCTCTCCAGGCAGCCTCGATGTCTTTGCCGGCGATCCCCTAAGCTGCCTTTCTGCTGCGCTTCTCTGGATGGAGAAGCTGAATCCTATTTAAAAGGCTGCCTAGGCAAAGAGTTGGCAAGTCCATTTGTACAGTGAGACTTAAGTGTTTTCAGGCATGTTGGAAAGTCATCTGCAATTAGGATGTGCTTGAAGGCAATAGGAAACTTCAGTGAGTCCTCCTAGCCCTTGATCAGTGTAGATAATATTTGCAATTAGAAATGTGAAAATGGCTCCCAGACCCTGGGAACTGGATGGGTTTTGCTTTATTACTGTAAAGGTGACATCTGAAAAAGGAACTGCTTTTATGTTAAGTATGAAACGTGTACCAGAAAACAGAAGTGTTGGCACAGTGTGTAACTGTGTGTGTGTTAGCAGGGTTGCCTTTTCTCTTTGTATTCTCTGAAATTACAGGAAATAGCTCAAGGGGGGAAATTAATCTTTCCAAGAAACTCTGCGCTCTCTTCTTATCATTGTGGGGTAACCTAATTTCTTGATCTTTAATTATTCTTGCTCTAAGCTAGAAATTCCAGTGTTTTGTTGTTGCGGTCTTTTCTGATCTCTGAATGGTGGGAATTAAAAGTACCATTTTCTGAAATGGCAGCTTTGACTTTGCAATTCTCCATTTTCTCCTTTTCTTTTATTTGTCAGAACAGTTCCAGGCCTCCTGATCTGTTATTTTCAGGAAAATTCCATGAACACCTAGTGGTGGGTAGTGCCTTACCGGAGGACATTAGATTTTTATTTTTAATCCTTTCCCTTTGAAACGCTATTCATATTTTGAAGAATTCGAACTTTGTGGCGTTGTTTGTGAGCTGCTAATGTGTGCCAGGAATCCTCTGCCCTCCTGTTTATTGTATCTCTGCCTTAAGGTCTCGAGTGCTATAAATGCACGTTCCTGGGGTGCTCAGTAGAAACTGCGCACTCAAAAGTGAGCTTCCCCCATTACCCTGTGATAATGTCTTTCTCTGTGTTTACCGGCATCACTGAAACCAGATTTAAGCCTGTGTAACAGGCCCCTGGTTTGCTGAACAGAAATGCAGAGGGAAGTGGTGTTTTCTTTCCTAAAAGAGTCAAAAAAATGGAAAACCGTCTCTGGTACAGTTTCCGCCTGGGTAGTCTGATGGAACACGGGGGAAGCAAGACGCAGGAAGCCCTTTCTCCCCTTTCCAGAGTGTCGCCTTTTGTCTCTTACCGGTATGTCATCCCACTGCTGACTCTTCACAAGCTCGTAAGAAGGCTCCGTTAAATCAAATTTGGGGACAGGGAATCCAGGAATAGCATTGTGCAGATGGAAGCCAAATGTCACCAGCCAGCTGTTAACATCTAGGACAAAAGTGTTCAAAATGAAAGGCGTTTTATTTTGTGCTTCCCTACGTCTAAAGTCTTACCTTAAAGAAAGCGCCACATTCACAAACAATAACCTGGAAAGGAGCCCACGATGACCTTCGCTCTACAATTACAAACCTACTCTCTATTTTCAGACACGAAGACAATAACCTCAACAGCAGAAGTAAGTGAAGTTAGGGCTATAAGTGAAGTTAGGGCTACAGAAAGCACAGCGTAATAGGGACCCACTTAGACAGACGGATAAGCTGTCACATGGGCCAAGTGACATCCTGTGCTGGTAACAGTGACTTAGAAAAGGACAAAGAACAATGGCCAGCAGCAAAAAGGAGACAGAGTTGTCAAGAACAAATGCAATTTGTAGTCAGTAAACGCTGGTCTTAAATACAAGTTGTGTGTTACGAGCTTTCAAAAGCAACTGCCTAAGGATATGCAGACCCCCACCGCCCATTTTCTATTAATAAAAACCTTGAATCGAGAGTATTAAAACAACGGTTGATTCTTAATCAAAGATGAATGCTGAAAGCCAGCCAAGCTGGCCAAGGGCACCGAAGTTCTGATTACCATCAGTTCTGACTTCAAAGGTGCACTGTGCACAGGTGGAGACAAACTTTTGGGGGAAGAGAAGCTGGAAACCTTTAAGATGGTATTTTAAAATATTGCCATGTGACTCCAAAAGCCATTAAGCTGAGAATAAGGCTTTTATTCTATTCTGGAGGTTATAATGTTACAGAACTACTCAGCAGGCTTGCAGGTTTATGAGTACAGTTGGGTGTAGATTATTTTATATATTAAGCACATTGCTGGAAAATTCGAAATTGCATTTCACCTAATATATTTTATGCTATTCCATCTCTCTTTTGATGTTTTTCAGAAAATGCTGCAGCGGCATTCCCTGCCGTCCACGTTACTAGGAGAGGATGAATTCAGGAACTGTGGGCTTTCCAGCCTTCAGTCAGCCACTGTCAACTGTGGTAAACTGCTCGCCAGAATGATGGAGGGCCCTTGTTCCTGTCTCCTTCTCCAGGGCACAGACTCTCACCTCATCGCCAGGTATCATATAGGCTGTAAACCCAGTGGTATTCTCCCTCTTATAAATGGAGGGCTGGTGGTGGTGGTGGTGGAGAGAGAAGCTGCAAGTCCATCATGTAGGATAGAAAGTGATACATTGTGTGTGTGTGTGTGTGTGTGTGTGTGTGTGTGTGTAGTAAGTATACGGCGGGGTCCTTCGTTTGGTTTTAGGGTAAAGTTAAAACTTTTCCTTTTTTCCTTTTCCTTTAAACTAGGTTGGGGGTTAGGGGTAACGG